TCGCAACCCCTGCCACCTACTCTCCCACTCCTGTATCTTCAATAGGCAAGTCAGGCCCTGGCCAGTGTGGCTCAGTGGTTGATTGATTTACAGTCAAGGGTGTGTGCCAGATTGTAGGTTTGATCCCTGGCCCTAGTCAGGGCACATTTGGGAGGCAACCAATCAATGTGTCTCTCTCCCCTCTCTCTCTCTCTCTCTCCCTCTCTCTCTCTCTCTCTCTCTCTCTCTCTTCCTCCATCCCTTTTACTCTTTCTGAAAATCAATGGAAAAATATTGTAAGGTGAAGATTAACAAAACAACAACAACAACAAAAACCACACACATAGGCAAGTCAAGTCAGTAAGGAAGTCTGCCCCTGACTCAACCAGCTTTTACTCCCTAATTCTCCTTTCCCATGTCCATAAAGCCCCTCCCTGCCTTTCAGCTCTCAACTCAGCAAGGTCTCCCTGCTACATACTGACTGTGTCAGAAAGCTCCCTAGGAACTCCTTAATTCCAGCCTTCCCCTTCCTTTCCCAGTTTCTCCCTTTTAGACCATACGCCCATTTTATGTCTCCAGATTGTGAGACTTTGCTTTAAGTCCCATAGAAAAAGTAAATGAGCCAAATAGGTGTTGAACCCTTTCTTACCAACACCTTTGGTAAAGTCATTTCTTTTATTGAAATAAGAATAGTAAATCATTGTTGAGGTGTATGAGCTCCTACTGTAGACACTTTATGGAAAATATCCCTGAACTTCACAGCCCCTGCTGAAATATAGCCTTTTTACCTATAGTTTACTGATAAGTAGATGGAGACCCCAAACCCTAAGTCATTTGATCAAGGTCACACAAGATTAAGAATTTTTTGTTGATTTAATTGTTAGTTGACCATTATCTGAGCTCCCTGCCTGTTTAGGGGAATCTCCCACCCAATATGTAAGACAGGGTCCTGCTGCCCAGGTTGGAACCTGAGCAGGGCCAGATGTTTCCTCTCCCTGTTCTTTGACAGCTGGATGGAGGCATCTGACCCAGACCCAGCCAATTGCCTGTTGTGCCTGGTTCTCTGCACCTACAGAGGGAGTACACCAGAGGGCCAGGTAGAGATGGTAAGGGGAGCTCCAGGCTCAGGGGCAGCATCAAGTGTCCAGTGGTGTGGGGCCAGCTGTCCTAAGTGACTGATTGTGGGGGCCTTGGCTGTCTCCTCTGCCACCTAGACCCCTTGCTCTCATTTATTATCTGACTCTGGCCCTCTAGTCTCCCACTCAGTGCAGTGAGCTCCCCACATCCTTCCAACAATGCCATTTTTACTTGAATCAGATAAGAATCAGCCAGAGTTGCATTCTTGGTTACAACCAAGAATTCTCATCCATGCTGCTGGGAAATCGAGACCACTTTCAACTGTTGAGGGAGGGGGGTTCTATCTGGAAAAAAATGCTCCCCTGAAGATCTATGAACAGGAGTAAGGCTGAGGGATGAAATTTTCTGAGGAAAGAGGGTTTTCTTTTCTCTTCTTCACCATCAGATTGAAGGCAAGTCTAGCAACAAGAACATTCCTTTTGGAAAATCTTAAAGAATATGTAAGAAAGACTCAGATTCCATGAAGGATACTCACTCATGGGACTAGGTGGAGTTCTTTCTGTTTCACTTTCTTCTTGGTCCGGTTCAAGTTTCATTATGGGATTTTGTGGGACTCAGATACTCTCTTTTGCCCTTTAATGTCAAAGTTTGGATTTGCTGCCTGATTCTTAGTAGAGTCATGGGAGAGCATGGTTTGGAATGTGGATTATGATCTATACTTATTCTATACAGTGCTGATATAGTCATCCTAATTATTTCCTTTGCTGGCAAATGGCAAAACCAGCAAATAGTCCTGAGGACAGAAGACACCCTGCTATACCCTGGAATTCTCTATTCATTTCTGTGAACTCCGCAACAACACAGCTGTCTTGGGCTGAAATGGTTGGTAGGAAGCTCACCTACGGGAAAGGGAAAGTGGCTGATTCTGTAATATATGTGTTAACAAGCATAACAAACATACAATATCAAAACCCCATTGAAGCAACAAAGGGAAGTAGTTAACATTGGTCTGGAAGATATATTAGAATGTGGTACAGGAAGTACCTCTAAAGTATAGCACTTCCTAGCAATGCAGCAGTGGGTGTGTATGAGAAGATGCGGGTTGCCCAGAAAGGCCTCCCATTGAATCAACCACCCAGAAAATGTCATTGTAGCCAGCACATCTACAGGTGTACTAATTGCTAACTGGGAGAGAGCTACACCTTTCACTTCTGCATGTAATTTTGTAGTACGGAGTAGTAAATAAGAAAAAAGTAACCACAGCTACAAAAGTACAGCTGATAAAGATAAATGTTTTAAAGCCAGAGCTTGGAGTGAGTTTAGAGTGATGCTAAAAATTCCCTGTAATCCATGGATCCAGCCCAAGTCACAGAAGTGATTGATCTAACATAGAGCCACAGGGGCTGTTAGTGATGTGAGACCATAAAGGAAGGTTGCAGAATTTGATCATAGAAGGAGAGAATCTGAATGCCCAGCACAGAGACATTTCCCTGGCTGCTCTTGGCTGAAAGTTCCAGCCATTTTAATAAGGAAGAATTGGCCTTTAGCATCAAGTACACACTGTAGTTATTGAGTTCTGTTTCTAAAACAAGACCAGGTTCCTTTTTATTGAGGTCCACCTCCCACATTCACAGTCCATAGCACATAAGACTCGCTTTGGCCTTGAGTGTGCCTTTCAAGTGCTTTAGCCCCGCTCTCTGGGGCTCCATTGGGGGCAATGAGTCTGAGCAGCCCTGTGTAAGATGGGTTGGTTGCTGCCTATGAGAAATCCCTTCATGCCTATTTCACATCAACCCTGAGGTCACTCTGAGGGGTGCACAGGATCAGTGAGGCAAGGAAGTTGCTGACAAGAACTTCATGCTAACGCAAAGGTAAAACAGACCAGTCTCTGATTTTTTGATCAGTGGATGATCTGCCTCAAAGCATACAGACTTTTCACCAGGGACTGACACAAGCCAATCCAGAGACATGAGGTTGTAATGGTTGATTCAACCAATGCTAAAATTTTTCCCCTTCCTGGAAGGCTTAGCTGCTTGCTAGGCAATCGATATCCTAGACGCTTATCTTCAGAGATGCTATGTCAAGAGTTCAGACAAGAAAGATGCATTTCATTTCCCTGCTCGCTGCTCCTGAGCACAGTGAGGGTATGGAGTGCTCTGTGCTTAGTGTCACAGGAGGCTATGGTAGCTTTCTATGCCATCAGCTTGGGATTTCTTTCTCTGCCCTTCATCTTGACACAATAGCAAAGAAGAGATGTTTGAATTCTCGGCAATGGCCTGTTTAGAATCTTTCCCTGTGTCACATTGATTTATTATTTCAGACTCACTTTGAAAATCATCTTTCCAGCCCTTAAATGTTGAATTAACATCTGAAACGGATTCTGATTCTGACTTCAGCTCTCCAAATTGCAAAGGCCAGCCAACTGTAAGAATGTGGTCCTCATTGCAGCTGCCCTGCCCCTCCCTGCCTCCCTGTGCTGAGTACATTCTTCTGAAGGGAAACAAAGCC